TGTGGGACAATGAAGGCAAGTGCACACATCACATGTGGGACAATGAAAACAAGTGCACACATCACGTGTGGGACAATGAAGACAAGCATGGTGATCACAAAGCTTATTAAGGGCAAGAATCCTGGAGAGGGACACCAGGGGTACATCAGCATTTGGAAAGAGCTCAGCTTGCATTTAGTTGAAACTTAAGTCTACTAATATTTTGTTGACTTATTTCTAAATAATACATGTATTTATAATAATATATAGAATAAGTAATAATAATTAAGATAGAGTAATTAATATATAATAATTAATATATAACAATTAATAATACATAGAATAATAAACATTTTATATTTTAGTATATTTGTGTGTAAAAATTCAATCACATTCTTCTCGCAACCATGTTCTCCTTCCCATATAGCTAACCAAATAGAGGTATTAATTTCTTTATTTCTGAAAATATTAGCCTGGTTGATTGGAAGAGAGATGGCCTTAAATAATAATAGCAAACCTCCTATGATTGTGTTACATAAATTTAAGAAAATGCTATTAATCTTTGAGTGTGAATGCAGACTTGACTTTTAAACACAAAGTCTTCTATTAGTTTAATCCATGGCAACGAGAGATTTTTCTCAAACCAAATAGTTCCAGAAGGATCTATTTTAGTAGCAACATCTGTGAACCATTCTAAAGAGCTGCAATAAAAAATAAAATCATATAATATCCGAACAGAAATGAGAAAGCCAAATTGTATTTCTCTCTGGAAAATGAGCTCCAAATTGTGTTCAAAACCTACAGACTATTAAGGGGAATAGTAAAATAATATCGTATTTAAGTGATTTAAAAAACAAGGCATGCACACCATTGAGTTCTTGATTGTGTTAAGGACATTTTCAATGCCAACGCCAATGTTGACCTAAAAGGAGCTAGAACCGAGGAGGCAGTGAAGAACATTTAATGCAATTTGCCCACTCTCCTTAGCTCTCCCCGGTTCATTTTATAGACCTTTTCTAGGTGAGTATGCCGAAGTACAGCTTTTGGCCTTGTGTTTTGTTTATTGGTTTGTTTAAAAAAAATCTTATTGGTTGTCAACCCAGTGGCTCTTGAAGTCCAAAATCAGGAGCGCGAAGGTTTTGGGGCTCCATGAACTGTCTACTCTGATCTTTTCCCTGCTTCCCACTTTTGTAGCAGAATATTTCTCCCACTACTTTGTATAAAGGTCGGCGATTGGGCTGTATGAGAGGTAGGCGGAGTGAGGAGTCAGGAGGAGAAAGAGGAGGAGCTAAGGAAGAGAAGGAGGACCCAAGGAGAAAAGGGGAAGATGGAGGCAGATGTGCGCATGTCTCTAGCAGTCTAAGGTAGTTGTAATATCTAGGTTAGGTATTGGGTAACACCTCTATTGTGTGGGAAAATTGTTAATTGAGTATTTCTAAACATATAAAGCCTTTGGATAATAATTAAGCTTTAGAGTCTCATTTCTACCGGGTACTGCGTGGATGGCGGCATGGTCTGGGCTCAGCCAAGCCTTGTGGAGACAGTGTGGTAGATAGAGCCATCTCCTACGCTGGCATCTCGTGGGTGGTGCTTCTGGCCAGTCAGAGCCAAGCAGCAGCAAGAGCACGCTGCGGCTCTTGGCCTCAGGCCTTGCCTAGCTGGGAACATGGCGGCACTGTAACAACAATCCAGATTAGATGCCGCTGTTTTAAATTTTAACCATAACACACTTTAACCCTCAGCCTCTTCCCTGCCTCTTCCTCTCTGTGTTTTTATTTATTTATTTATTTATTTATTTATTTATTTATTGAAAAATAATGGTCTGTTTTAATAGTTTAGCATATCCCAAATGCTATCGTTTTAGAATTTCATCAATAAAAAACATTATTAACGAGATACTTTATACTTTGATGAAGTTTCAAAACCCAATGTATACTTTGCATGCATAGAACCATAGTGTTTTGAGGGCTCTGGAATCAGCTGAGCCTGGTGGCTTCCTTGTTAAATATTTCTGCATTTATTAATCTATGGTGAGAATCTTCAGCTTTTGAGAAATAGTAACATTCATTTTTGAGTATTTTTTCTAATTGTGGTAGAATATTCCTAACATAAAATTTACCATTTCCTCCACTTTTAAGTATACCCTTCAGTGATATTGGGTCAACAGTGTTACAAGCATTATCATTATTCATTTCTAGAAACTTGGCCAGAGTGTGGTAGCCTCTATTCTATGGTCTCAGCCGATTTGCCTATTTTGAGTACCTTGTGTGAGTGAAGGAAATATATGTCATCATATATCTGGCTTATTTCATGGATCACTGGTCTTCACAGTTCATCCTCATTTTTCTGCTTCTTACTTGAGAGAGTCCAGTTAGCACTATGCTTGGTAACGACATACAGAAGCACACTCTGCAAACCTTTGCTTATATTGTCCCTCTCGTCTCTACATCTTTTCATACCTGATCAGATCCAGGCAGAGCTCAATCTCTCCTTTTCTCCAACACTATTCTCTTCTGAGTTCCTATTCGATAAATATGGTCCATGTTGTGTTACAACTATCATCTAGACGAGCTGTGTAGGGTGGCTGAAAGATTCACACAGCCTTGAGTCCACCAGACCTCGGTGTCAAATACTGTCTCTGTGTCTTCTTGTTAGCTAAGTTTTCTCTGTAAATTCTTTAAACCTGGCTGACTCTCCAGTCCCTTATCTTTAAACTGAAGACAGGCTGTTATGTGAAGCATTTCAGCACTCTGCTTGGCACAGAGGCCTCGGCAGACACCAATCCATTTCTAATGGAGCTTAATCCCAAGTTTTCCAAATAGGCCTGTATCATTGCCAAAGGCTAGAGAAAAATGAATTGCATTATCCAATTGTTAAGTCAATGAAATTATATATATAACAGTAAACAGTACAGTTCCTAGCAAGAAGGGCCTTAGTAAATGGCCGTTCTGTTGTTACTGTTTACAAGTATAAACTTCAGTAGGAAATGGCTCGTGCGTGGTTCATCCTTGGGTTACTAACAATGTTTCACAGTATATAGTTGGTGTTCAGCAATTACTCATGGGATGTGAACTTTCAAAGAGCTGGGTGAGACTTGTGAGGTAGGAAATCATGATTCCAGCAACCAAAAGACAGGTGCAATCATAGTATCTATCTATCTATCTATCTATCTATCTATCTATCTATCTATCTATCTTCTTTTCTTTTCTGTTTTATTTAATTTGTTTTTTGAGACAGGGTTTTTCTATGTAGTCCAGCTGTCCTAGAACTCACGCTGTAGACTAGGCTGGCTTCAAACTCAGAGACCCATTTGCCTGTACCAAGTGCCGAGATTAAAGGCTAGCACTACCTCAGCCAACTGGTAGCATTTATTATTAAAAGAGTTAAGAGTTAAGTGCCTGTAAGTTTAGCAACTAACATAAATCCAGAAGAGATGCGAAGAGGAGAGTATAGGAGAGCACAGTGTCCTAAGTTACTTTTTGGCAAAACAACATACATACTTGACTTCTTGGACTTTTGGCTGAGATCAAGTGGATTATCTGTTCTTATCAACTTAGTATGTGATGTGTCCTCTGTCCAAGGACAAACAAGTTAAATGGATTTTTGGAGCAGAAAGATGGAATGGAGCATGTTCATTCCACTCATCGGTCTGGTGTGATCTCTCCTCAAATGGTCCACACCCTTGGTTCAGTAATGTGGAGTGTATCCACACCGTTGTGAACAGCAAGCATCCTGTAGTTCTCAGACTCTAGTCTCACTAAACACTTCCTTCACTCTTGAACCAGCCTTTGGCCATTACATATACATCTATATATATATTGCTAAGTAGAAAACGTTTTAAAAAGAAAGAAAAGGACTTTGAGTGACAAAAACTTCCCCCTTCATTTCCACAGAAGGATTAAAGCAGACAGGAAGCAGAGATATCATAGCATATGCCGCCTGTCACATGCGGAGTAAAGGAGACTGAAACTTGGAACAGGCGAGTCTTCGGCTAGGAAGCCAGAAATGAAAGTTAAGTCCTGTCTAGGAAGCAAGGGGAGGAGCAGTTCCGGAAGTCCTGGCCAGCCTCTGGGTATTAGAAGAGACACAGACCAAAAGCTGAATGAAGAGAGAGATCAAGTCCACAGTCTGAGGGCAAATAGAGGACACCAATCAGAAGACAGAGAAATGGAGAAAAAGAATGGAGAAGGAAACTGCAATAATCTCAGACTGTCACGGGCTTGTTTTAATGGTCTATCAGGGGCTTCCTTGTTAGTCGAGGAGGGGCAGATGTCTGAAGGAGGAAGCAGATAAAAGAGAAGTCTTTATACCCCATTGACAAGTTGGCCCTCTTAAGAACTGAGGCTCATAAATCTTTTTTGTCTGATTCCATCAGTGTGAAGATATGTCTTAGGAGGAGAGAGGAGCTATTGAAAACCATGAAACACAACAGGATTTGTCGAGATTCCACCCGCTTTCAGATGAGCCTGCTGGGGAAAGAAGGTACTTAAGGAAAACAAAGGGGAAAAACTCCAAACCCCCAAACTTTTAAACTTAAAATCATTAATCCCAGTGTTTAGTCCTTCCCCACCCTTTCTTTTTATAAGTGACCTTTGGCTGCTCCAATCCACTGGACTTTGGATCTCCTTAGAGTCAATTTCCTTGCAATTTTCAGGACTTTGTATCAAGCAGATTCATTGAATAAAACCAAATATTTTTCTTTTTATTCTATGGTGACTACTTGGATGTTTTGACTCGCATACTTGTTCCATAATCTTGCTCAAAGTTAAAGTCTCTCTGGTGCACATATCTGAGATGTAAGGTTAACCCAATGAACAAAGAAAAATGAACTTTAATAAGTCATTTACCTAGTACAAAAAAAAATCAATCCCTTGGTTACAAAAGATTAGAGAATACATTTCCTGCTTCACAGCATAGCTGTGTTACCTGTAACACCTGTAGGGACCTGGGTAGGCAGACAGTAGAGCCTCCAGTACATGATAGGCTGAGCAGACAGATGGGAAAGGCCCCTTATTTGCTCTCCAGTAAGTGAGTTCAGGGATGCAGTGATGCTTGTATGTTCATAGGTTCTCACCATCTACTGTGAATGGAAGTACAGCTTTGCTAATGTGGAATAAATAATGAAGAATGACACAGGATGCTGATACCCCATGCATGAGAAGGGTTGCAATCCCACCTTCTGCTGTTGCCCATTGACAACATCCTGACACTCATGCGGTGGAGCCACTGACCAATCAAGGGCATTGAGTCAGTCGCCTTCCACTTCTCTGCACGGATTGTCTCCCTCCTTGCCTAATGGCCTTACTTCCTTGTCCTCTGGTGACTGAGTTTTCTAGTTCTTATCTAGGCAATTTTACCCTGTTTGTTTGTTTGTTTGTTTGTTTAAATGATCACTTACTGGCATAAAGTCAAGGTGTTGGCATAACTTTATCCCTTCCAAGGTTTCAGGGAGCATCCGCTCTTTTTTTTTTTTTTTTTTTGCCTTTCCCAGCTTCTGGAGACTGACACCTAATCTGTCCCTCAGCCTTCTTCCCAGTCTCCAAGTCGACTGATATAGCACCTCTTTGCCTTTACCCAACTATTGGTTTCCTTTTTCTTCTCCCAGTTGAAAAAGTTTCTCCACTTTTAAGTATTCAAGTAACCTTAGAGTCAAACTGTATCATTTAGGATAATCACCCCATTCTCAAAGTCATGTCTGCAAAAACTGCTTCTGCTGTGTGATGGGTTCTATGGATTAAGGCATGAGCATCTTTGAAGGTGGTTATTGTGCCTACTGCACTGGTATTCTACAGCTTCAGGTTCTATAGGGAAGAAATGAAGCCTATTCTCTCTAAGAAAAGCTTCTGTCTCAGAAGCTGGCTGAAAGAATTATGGAGAATACAGTGTGCTAATTCACAGTAAAGTTGCACTGGCTGATACAGCTTACAGTTTCTTGTAGCATTGGACCATAACTCTTAACTTTGGACTCTGGCGATATTTCATTGTGTAAGCAGGAGAACCTTTGTTCGATCCAAGCACCTATGTAAACAAACAAGCCTGGCTGTACATGCCTGTAACTTCAGCACTGGGGACACAGTCAGATCCAGGGCTCACTAGTCAGCCAATCTAGGTGAAATGGTAACTTCCAGTTTAGTAAGAGAGCCTGTCTCAAGGAAATAAAATGTATGTGTTCCTTTAGCCTCCACATATACACACACACATGCATATACCCACACTTTCATGACCACAGAGAGACACACACCCAGAGACGCACATGCACAAATACACACAGAGACATACACACAGAAACAGAGGTACAGACACACACACACATACGCAACACACATATACATGTATACATCATATATACAAACTTACACCATGAAGAAACCTTTAAAAAGTTGGATTTCTGGCTATTTTGGGGGTAGATCTGTGCTTTTTTTGATTTCAATAAGACTTTTTTCTGTAAAGAAATCCTATAATGGAAATGAAGAAGGGAGAAACTAAAACTGAAAAGACTCCCTCCCACTACGAGGGAGGGGCAGTGACTACAACTGTTGGTTTTTCTCCCTTTCTGGTCTCCTTGTGGAGTGTTGAAGGTTGAGCAACTTTGGGCCTGGGCTCACATGTCAGTGGCTGGGGAGAAGTTGACAATGAGAAGCCCATGTGTGGAATGGAGAGCCTGTTGCTTGTTTCCTCCCTTTACAGAGTGAGTTTTCATCATTCATCCAGTAGGAACAGGAACATTTAACTAGGTCTGATTCTGAGTAACTTCCTAGTGAGAACATCTCCCACTATAGGATGTGACTACGCTTTTTCTCTCCTGCTCTCCATTAACCCTCATGCTTAAGTATATGCTGAATCTTTTTCTTAATGAAGGCAAACTTTGTCACTGAAAAAAAATATACTTTCCTTAATTCCTATTTTCTTTCTACCTCTGTATTTGTCTTAGGAATATTCTGAATCTTATTACAACACTGAACACTCTGTGTGGATTATAGTATATGCCCACAGTAGTTACCACAGGCATTTACCTGACAAGAAACAAATTAAGGGACAAAGGGTTGAGTCTCGGCTTACAGTTTGAAAGTGCACAGTCTGTCACGACAGGGAAGGCACAGCAGCAAGACTTTGAGGCAGATGGTCACATTGTATCCTCACGCAGGAAGCAAAGACTGGCTAGGAAGTAGGACTGAGCTATAAAAGCTCAGGACTTACCCACTACCCTTACTGTGACCCACTTCTAGCAAGTTCTATAACTTTTCGAAACAACAGCACCAACTAGGGACTGTGAGTTCAAATACATGAGCCTATGGATGGCATTTAATATTCAAACCACAGCAATTCTCAGTAAATACTGTTCACATAAATGAATAACATCTGGACTAGATTGACTGACCCATGATCACCATAAATATTGAACAACACTCACAGTGTTGTTCACATTCAGGCTTCTCTGGTTTTCTAAGTCTCCGTGTGTTGTATTTCCTTAATCTTTTCAAAAAAAATCTATAAAATCGGTATTCTTAACTCTACTTCAAGACTGAGGACTTCAAGAGAGTTGCTCATGATGCAGCTATAAGAAAGTCAGTGTTCAGAGCAAGGTCTGCCTGACACCAAAGCCCATGGGACTTTGTGGCCCTTATATCCTCTGTTGCTCCTAACCCTTCCGATTCCATGAGAAAGCTAGGATTAGATCTGGGTGAGTAACCTCTGAGCTCAGGACCATAATGGCTAGGGAAGGAGAAGAGCATGAAGGGTCTGTATTGCTCTCAGGTATAATTATGGGCACGGTTGGTTTTGGAATCCACCATTTCACACTGTCTGTGTTTAATTCTCTTAATCATGCTATAATGGTCATGTGTATTCTTCAGAAGATTAGATGAGTCCTTTTGGCGGCTATAAATGCCCTCTGCATGGATACCTCACCCACTCACTCTTCTCCTTGTATGATTACACACACACACACACAATTTAGTAAATACTTTCTAAAGGATCAAACAAATTGCCAAGCTTTGTAACTGAATCCTGCTTGGGGTTAGCTTTTGGAGATCTGACATCATGACCACAAACCCTTCCCTGTGTAATTTTGATTTTCTCAAAGTCCTAAATGGTAGCATAAAAGATAATGATTTTTTTTCCTGATTCCTAAGATATGTTTTTGTTGTTGTTGAAATATCAACTTAAGAGAACTTTTTTGTATGTGCTTCTGGCTCATTGGTGACTCCAGCAGTTAACAGGTATACCAGTTAGCCCCGCAGTGGCCCTTACTGCTGTTGCTATGTTAGGTATTTAGTAGAGAACTCAGAGGCAAGTGATTGACTGAGTGAACTCTATAAACATAGAATAGAAGCCCCTGGAAGCCATTCTAGTTATTTTTCCTTGCTCATATTATTTGTTCACAATAGAAGAGATAGGTTTGTGGTATATGATATAATAGAGCATTTCCCCCTATTTCTTTTATATTTGTTTGAAACTCAAAGGAAAATTTTGGAGGATTTATATCCTTATGCTTGGATTTTCCACCAGCCTATTTACAACATTCCTTGTTCCGTAGAGCTCTTAAGATGAGTAGCAACAGAACAAACTGCAAGACCTTCTGAGTGGCTTGCAAATGCCAAGAAATAATTTAGCTGTGATAATTTTTTGCACACATATCTTATATTCTGTTGTAGTCATGGAAATAAGGAGGCATATGACTACT